AGACAGGTAAGAAAGGAGGGGAGAAAGAAGCACCTTCCTCAGACCCAAGGTTTTGTGCTGGCAAAAAGTTTTGTGTTTTCAAGGAACCTAGCTTTTTTAAAAAGTATAGGGCATAAGAAATTAAGCTAAATTAGATCTTTTCAACATGTGGCAATAGAGATTCCTAAAAAAGAGGTTCATTTAAACTATCTATGTTTCAGCTTGCAAAACGTATCAAACGCAAGTACAGACATCTTAATTTGGCCTTGGAGGAAGAGAAAGATTCTGTTTACTCATTATGAGTTAAGAGCAAAAGTAGAAGACCAGCCCAGGAAAAAAAAAAATCCAAACCCAAAACCTGACCAACAACCATAGGGACTGCTAGGTAAGAACTGCATTAGGAAAGAGTCAGACAAAACAATTATTGATCAAGAAACTGCTCTAACCCTGGGACAACTGCAACCCAGTAACTGTAACTGTTGTGAGGCACATGTCAAGCCAGGGATGATCCCCATAGCACAAGCCATTCTTTTTCTAGATTTTCCCAGTCTGTAAAGATTGAATGTCTACTACGCATCTATACTGGAATATTTAGAAAAAAAATTCTGCATCCTATAGAAAAGTCACAGTACCCTGTCTTCCTTCAGTATATGAACTGGTTCTAGTTAGTGCAGTATTATACAACAATAACTGACAGTAATGCAGGTATTTTTATTAAACAAGACAGAGTAACAACTAAATCTACTAACTCCAGCAAATTGTCGGGGTTTGTTCTAGTTTGGTTTATTTATTATTTTGTGGTTTTTGGTTTGGTTTGGTTTTTGTTTTGTTTGTTTGTTTTGTTTTGTTTTTTTTAATTATGGTTTTGGTTTGTTTTTTTTTTTTTTTTGGGGGGGGGGGGGGGGATGTAGTTTGTGTGGTTTTTTTCAATAATAAACAAAACAAAACACCCATGGCAATCAAGGTCTCCTTTCTAACTTGACTGTAAGAAAATGTATAGTCTTGCATTTGAAAGGAATATTTAAAACACAATGCTAACTTTCATCCAAATTATAAAGGACAAGGATGAGATTAAGAAGTAGTTTATAAACATTTACATTACTCTGGACATAAATCTGTTTTGGTGCTTGTCTAGGATTAAATGGGAGGCACTGTATATTACAGTTCAATAGAATCTTTTCACTTCATTTTTGAGGGGTTTTTTAAAATGACCAAGTCAGGGACTTTTTTTTTTTTTTTTTCACCCTTAATATAGATTAAAAACTAGCAATACACACCCAGAAAGATTTGTCATGATAGCAAAAGCACAGCGTATTACTTGGGTGTCTGATGCCTTTTTCATTGCCAGCCTTCCTTCCCTCACTACCTCTTCCTGCAACAATCCTGCAACAACTTTTCCAGGGTCACAGCACCAGCAAGTATTCAACTACATTTATGCACCTAAAACAAATGCTTTCCTAGCTGTATCACACTTGCCAATATTACTGTGATTAGCTAAGGGAAAACTTCAGCCACAAGCTGAATAGTTTGCCTGGCTTTGTTTAGCTTTTAAATGGACACACACACAAATGGCAGACTCAGCACATCTCCCCTAGAGACCAGCAGTCACCTGCTCACACCCTGTGAAATGAAACATGAGGGCACACATACATACCATCACACTCAACTGGATTGTAATGACAGTAAATGGTGCTGAACGAACATGAAAAAATTGGTGTCATCTACCAAGTGCCCCAGCAAGAGTCAAAGGAGCAAGGATCCAAATTCAGAGCTTTGGACATCCGTTATGACAGTCCTGTATTTCAAGGAACCATCCAAGCTAGAGACTGAAGAGAAAAAAAGAATTCAGATTGCTTTTGGTTGCTTATGCAAGTATTAAAACCCTAAGTCACTCTTAAGGAATTTATTTTATTTGAGACTGTAGTGTTTACAATATTTACCCATACAACTATGAAGGCAGCAACTTCGTAAATGATCCAGAAGCAGAAATCATGATCTCTGTAAGGAAAGCTTCAAACTAAATTCTTTGCTTCATGCTATCAAATATGGAAAAATTTATGAGGTTTATTTCATTATTTTACAGAAAAATACCAAGGCTAACAGCAGACAATTATTCTTTAATTTCTGGCTCTTCCTTTCATGCCTTATCAGAGAGAAAAATTATTATCTCCTCAAGTCTGACAATTGCTTGCCTCTAAGAATCTGAAAGATACACCTCAAAGAGCTAAGACCATTACTGAAACACAGTAAGGAGGAACATGGAAATGGTATTGTCCACTGCGGAAAGATAAGGAGCAAATAAAACCCCCACATATCCCTGAGAAACATCAAGGTAAGATCAAAATTTATTCACGCTGAAGAAGGTGAACAATATTCCTATTCTTGATTTATAGCATTCTAAGCCAAATATTTTAAGTCTCATCTACTATAGGGCTTCTGACCTTTGAAAACAGGTTACTTTGCAGACACTCTCACCTATTTGGTTGTAAGAGAAGAGTAGAATTACTTTCTGCTATGAGTGATCTAAAGCTTATGGAGGAAACGTACTGGATCCCTATGGAGACTAACACCCAGATATGACCAGCATGCACAACAGATGCAGGAAGAGAAGAACTCAAATAACTTTTGAATATTTATAAGCAAATATCCCACTTGAACTCTTTTCTCCAAACTTCTAGCATTTAGTAGGAAACTGAGTCCAAATGGGCTGTAATTGCTTTCCTGAATCAGCATATGGCTATGGCTCAGTACAGTACTCAGTGACTATCTGGGGGGAAAAAAAGTTTGAAAATACTTCTACGCTTTTAAGCAAAGAACTAAGAGTAAACTTTGAGGGCCAGTAACAGCACTGACCTAACCCAGAAGCACAAGGACTTTTAGTCCCCAGTTTATGCCAGTTACGTATGGCAAAGCAAGACAAAATACTAATTTTCAGAGGCTGACCCAGTGCATCATCACTTAAAAAAAAAAAAAAAAAATCACCATCCTAAAGGTGGCACAGACTAGTGTATAAATTCATGTTTCAAACTGAACATTTGAGAAACTGTTCATAAAACATCTCTTCTACCTAAGAGGAACCACAGGCTTTCAGTGGATTACATACACACTGCATAACCAAACATCTTGAAAATAAGATCTCTAAGAATGCCACAGTAGATTAGAGTACAAAACAACCAAAAATCAGGATGCTACAAGTCTTCAGAAAGAAAATAAGGAATTTATTTTACCATGACCCAACTTGAAGAAAGAACAAACAACCTACTGTTAATGTATTATAAAAAACCCACACCTCTACAAGAACAGTCCATGGCACTCATACTGTCACACCTTTTTATTCTTTGCAGCACCCTCCTACAGTTCAAAACCGAAAAGAGGACACAGGTGTATCAGGAGATGCACTTTCACTTAGGTCCATGTCTCTGAAGCTCTGCTTCTTCAGATGGGAGCTTTTTTTCATCAGAGGTCACAGAACGCAATGTGTGGCACCAGAGAGCACAAGGATTACTGAGCTTCTTTGAAGCACAATGCAGAGAGAAACCGTAACAAGCATTAATCCAATGGAGAGCTTCTGGATGGAGTTGCTTCAAATAGCAAGTATGTGAAAGTCCAGAAAATTAAGATTTTACTAAAGCAAATTCCTTCCATTATTTCTCTCCAGGTCTTTGCTCTTATCTGCGTAAAGACTAAAATGAAGTTGTTCTACCTCTTATTCTATCTCTACAGTTTAGGAAGATCAAGCACTGCGTGTGCTCACTATGAAAGGTGGCTAATAACCAAAAGCACACCCACATTTTAAGTTTCTCCTCTTTTCATTATTACACCTTCCTACATGCTCTTTTTCCTGTAGAGACTTCCAAAACATGCTGCTTGCTTGTTTTTGGCAATACAAGGTGAAGCCAACTGGAAGTCAGGCCAGGTTGGTTAGAAAATTATTGCCGACTGTGGCCTTCCTCTGTTACTCAAAGCCACGTAATTCTTCGAAAGCAAAGACAGAATTTTAGCCTTTATAACAATTCAGATTCAAAAAGCTTTTTTTAGAGGACATAGCCCAACAGGAGTATCAGCAAATACATATACATACACATGCATGCACACAGGAATAATCAACTGCACACACAGAGGAATAATTTGTTCAGGTAACAGTTCTTCAGAAAAGCATTGGTAGATTTAAAGTCAAATTCAACTTGTAAATCAATATGCCTCCTGCAAAAGGCAGACAACAAACGGGGATGTATAAACAAAAGCACAGTTTGCAGGAGAGATGAAGTAACTCTCCTACTCTCCACACATGAATAGAACTCAATTTGAGTTATATGACTAATTTGGGACAAGCTCTGAAGAACAGAGATCACATACAGAGACTCCAGAGGAGAACAAGACCAAGTGAAAGTCTAAATAACATGAGTGAAGGGCAGAGAAAATTGAGAGAAAACCAAGGTAACAGTCTGCAAGTTGGTTCTAAGGATGGCTGCATTGAAAAAGGGAACTGAACATGGATGCCATACATAAAACAAGCAGCCAGAGTAACTCCACTTAAAAAACACCAATTGCTTTACAACAACAACTTTCCTCCTTTACTCGTGAAGCTCTTCCAAAGCAGCTTAGTGCCCTCTTCACCCCAAGTTACGTATTTCAGCATGCAACACTGAGGATTGATACTCAGAAAAACCTTCTCATTCTAAGGACTGCAGTTGGCTTGGCATGCTGTGGAGCTTCCAGCACTGGAGATGTTTTGTCTAACCAGTTCTTAAAGCCACCTGTCAGGAATGGCAGAAGCACAGATGAATTTGCCTGGAGAAAAGGAAGAGAAGGAGATAAAACTAGATCTAGTGAGATTTCTTTCAGCCCTATTTTTCAAAAAGTTTTAAGCAGCTGTACAGAATTTGAGGAAAACTGGATGGCTAAATGACAAGTTAGTAATTGCTGGTTTAGATATAATACTTTGTTGCAGATGGAAAAAAGTCATTACAGAACTGCACTGTGCCTTTTGCTCCCACAGCAAATATTTTCTTCATGGATACAATGAGGATAAATTTGTGCAATACAGTAATTATTTTAAGTTTCCTAGTATGTGCTGAATCCTCAAGTATTTAAATACTCCATATTGACTAAATATAAAGTCCATTTTTGTGAAAGATGCTTAATGTACTACAGCTTGTTTTAAATCAAGAGATTTAAGTTCTCAACTTTCAAAATAAGGTCTTCGTAAAGGTAGAAAGTAATTTATAGTAGACAACGAAGGTGCTCATGCCCCATTATAAAAAAAGCCACTTGCTTCCATAAGTTGAATCAGAGGCATATATTTTACATAATTTTTTTTCATTAATCTGATGTAACTAGCTTGACTTTCTAGAAATAAGCAGAACTTGATCATTTACACTATGCATATACTATAGTATCATTGTTTTTTCTAGAAGCTTGCTTACTGTAATTACTTCCTAAATATACAGTATTTTGTCAAAGGCAAGTTACCAATTGAAAACAGCAGATTCACCTTTTACACCATATACAGTAAAGAATTAATGACTCAGTACAATATTTTGCTTCTGACACTTAAAAAAAATAAAAATACTTAATACAGTGATAAAACTGATAGAAGAACAATGTATTGTAGGTCCACCAAGAACTCAGTTAATTCCTCTCACATGTCCCACAACACTCGTCACAGCACACAAACTAGACAGTTTAAACAACTCATATAAACAGGTAGCCCTGCTTCCAATATAATTATGTTACATCTCACACTATATTTTCAATCAGCCCCAGAAGGGGTGGATACACATTCAGACTATCAACCTGATTTACCAGTCTGTCTAGTATGGAGCTAAATAGCTGGCACTAGTTACCAACACCACACTTCACCATTAAGTTACAGAATATTAAAAAAAAAAAAAAAAAAAAAAAAAAATCTGAGTAGGTAGATTTAGATCTGATCTTCTTGCATACTATGAAGCATTCACTTAATACTCAAACTCTATTCTGAACACTTCTAAACTCTGGTTTTATCATGTGCTAAAAAAGCTACACAACTGACAAATGAAGAAAACCATCAAAAATGCAAACTCAAAACCCAAGTCTGTGTAATTGAGGTTTTTAAATAAGCTATTAATAGTGTCTTCTTGGTAGAGATACAAGCAAGAGACTTGGGCTTTTTTACCTCCTCACTCCTCCTTCGCTCTCCTGATATATTAGGGAGAAGAGTTACATTTTGATCAACTCAAACTTGTAAGTTTAGTAACTGCTTCATTTCACATGGTTAACATTTACGCTCGCCTCTTACACAGGCATCACAAAGAATTATACTAGTAGACATCTGCTTACAGAGAGAAAGCATGCACATGCATGAAGCAAAACACAGAAAAAATACTATTCCACACTCAAATAAGATATGCTCTGCGGCAAGACATTTGGGTCAACAGCAATATTTACCAGACATTAGCTTTAATTGACTTGTGGTTTGAGCTAGTGTTCAATTTTTTTTTCTGTACCTGATTAATATCATGGACTCACACAAGGCAATATTGCTATGCAAGATCTTTATTTACCACCTCTAGCGCAAACCTCAAGAAAACAAAAAAAAAGCTGGCTTCAATGTACTGTCAACAAACAGGAGTCTTACTAGCTGTCCCACAACAGACCCCTCATACCCTGTACGAGGTACCAGCTTCCCAGTACAGGCCATCGTGCTATACAGCCAGCTCTAAGCCGACAGCCAGCAGTAACACAAAGCCCAGTGTAAACTTCTGCACCCCACTGCAAAGCCTGAACACAACTATTTTCACTTTGATGGATGAAGGAAGCATACATGTAAATATGTAAAAAAAGGAGTAGGATCCCACTCTTGTCACAGGCTAAATTCCATCTCAGTTCAAGCATTATGTAGGACTGTCAATAAAGCACTGCTGCTTTTTGCCTGCCCAAACCCTCCCTACTTGCCATGTTTGGCTGAGGCTACTCTAAGCACTAATACAACAAAGTCCTGAAAACAATACTGAATGGAAAAAAGTTTTTAACTGATAATATCCCCATATTGGAACAGAAGAGCAAAGGGAATTTTATCTCGCAGAAGAATGCAACTTGCATGAAAAATAAAATATGACCGAAATTGAAAGCACAACTAGTGTTAATATAAAAAAATATATCCAGGACTATGAAAATATCATGTTAAAGGAGAACTACACAAATTGTATACGGTATGGTCACGAAACACCGGCTTACTAACCATGACCTTTAAGATATACATAGATACATATAAACATGCAGACAATTTAGGAGATTGAGGAATACCCTGGCCAATTTTAATACTTCACAGATTAAAACCTGTAACTTTGTGTCTTGTCTTCCCACACCCCATGACTGCTGAACAAAAGTTAAAATCTCAGAATCATCTTTGCCAAAGAATTCCAGAAACAATGTTCATATCTGGTAAGATAACTTCACTGTCTGATACCTAAAAGCATCAATTTAAGCGTTACGGAAATGAAACTGTTCTTTACAGCAAAATCCAACTGAAAAAGAGCCAAAAATTATGAAGCTCGTACACTTTCAAAGTATGGAAGTTAATTTGACTACGAGCAGGATTAGACTAGATTTTACTAATCTAAAAACCTACTATATTAGAATAAATATTTAAATCATGCAAAACCTCAGAGAAACATAATATTAATAATTCAATTACATGCACAAAATTCAGACAGTTTATTCAACTTACTCAAAAGCACAACACATCAGTGTGTTTCACATACCATAAATTCCTTCCCACTCTGAATCTTTAAATGGTGAAGAAAGAAAATGAGCAAGTCACTGTAATGTGCCAGTATCTCAAAAGGCAAAAGTTTTCCAGTTAAGAAGACAGTGGTGATTTTAGTAGTAGTACAGTTTTGATCTCCAAAGAAATGCCTAGTCGAACTTCCTCCATGAAAACAGTTCATCTTATTTGATTCATATACTGCGTCCATGTAACACCAAGTATTTCAGATCAGACCAAATTTGTGTGAAAAGCCTTCCTTGGTTTAAATTAAAAAAAAATATATCTGTGGGACTAAGGTAAGACTTTTGCCATGTTGAAGGCAGCTAACTTCAAATTTGATATTGCTACATTTATACAATAAAGCTTCAGCTTCACTCAAACTCCAGCAATCCTCTCTCAGATTCCCCCCAATACAGATTTTTTTGTTATTCAAGAACACCAATACAGATCTACAAATGTATCCGTTAATATTCCACAAGAACAGAGGTGCAGCCATTAAATTGACAAACATGAATCACCTGTTTTCTGCAGCCCTCAACTTTTGCAGTTTGAATTGGAGCCTGGATAACCACTCAGAGGTTAAGTTTCTAATGAATTAGATGCCCATCTCCATTAAAATCACAAGTTACTCATCAGCCATAAGAAACACCACGACCACACATGAATCTTATTGATCATAAACAACACAATCAAAGAATGTACCAACCCAGTCTCTAACACTTTCCAAGAGGTGTCTCTGATGCAGGATGAAAGCAAGCTGCACGTTTTTTGAACTGTTCTTTTAGACCACAGCTCTCTCCCTAGTAGTGCTGGATCACAGGTCTATCTTGTCACATTCAAGCTCTCTAATGTTGGGGGAACCAAATATAATTTATTTAAAAAAAAAAAAAAAAAACACAAAAACAAAAAAACACCAAACCAAAACAACAAACCCTTGCTGTTAATTAATAATGAATGGGTTTAATGGATTTGGCCACACCACAAAGAAAAAAAAAAAAAAAAAAAAAAAAGGTTTGGTCAACAACTTCACAAGAGAGTGAATATAGAGATACATACACACACTGGAAAGCTTTCAATTTTACAATTGCTGAATCTCACTTTATCCTTTCAGTTTATCCTAAAGCAGGCAGATTTTATCTAGACCCATTCATATTTTGACCTGTGCTCTGTATTTCTATTAAGTAGGTGATTACTTCCACTTTTTGCCTTCCCCAGTTCCAGAATACATAACCCATTCCCTGCTGCACCCCCATCCTCCCACCCCAACCCCCCAAGGTTTCCAAAGAGCAGTATCAGGTCCTCATGCCTAATTCAACTACTGACATTCACCAAGTATTAAGAGATACTTGTTATTAAAACTGCATTTCTCTTTCACCATTTACACTGCATTTAATCCCCCAAAATCTCAAATACACCAAACCATCTATGTAAGGGTCTCTAGTCACTTTTAATCCTGTATTTCAACAGAAATAACTCTGCTCCCTGTTTGAACATAAGGATGGACTACTCAGATCTGTTTCATTAAGCAAACCCTTGGCTGAACATGGTTCCTCTCCAAAATACCCTGATTTCCCTCACAAGTCTCTTTATAAACAATAGTAGGTCTTCTGAAGAACTTGCTGCTGACAAAACTCCTCCCTGTAGTAGATGCTCAACAGGAATACAAAGTGCTCCAATGCTAGGCATAGAGGTTTTTTACCACTTTCTTCTACATCTATTTTTGATGCTTCATTGTCAAAGTGTTTCATCATTCAGATTGAGGAGGAACATGCTCAAAAAGATGCTGCTGGTAAGGATACAGGCACACAGGCTATTTCTTCAAACTGAAGATCAGTACCATCCTTCATCACAGAAAACTCAGCAAAACCATGCTGAAACACTATGAACAGGGTATTTTAACTGCAGGTATTAATATTTTGTCATTTTATAACTTTCTGTGGAATTCCACGCTTTGGGTGCAGATCACACCAAACAGGCATCTGGGATTTTTATTTGACCACACACTTCAACCAACACCCTTCTCTATCCTCTTTAAGAAACAACCTGTACTCCAAAAAGAGGAGTGCACTGCAAGTCATTTTCCCTTCCTGATGCCCATAAAAGTCAGGACCAGAAAATAAAACAGTTTTAACCTGTCAAACTTTCCCCAACTCATTGGAGGTGAGTTTGGACTTTTAAGAACGTGTTGAGGATCACACAGAGGAACCTGCAAGACAAGCAAGAGGTCTGCATGCTACAACCATTCATTCTCATCCTCCAGCAGTCAGGTACTGTCCCTAAAAAGGAAATTTAATAGGCAACCTTACTGAAGATCCACAAAAGAACCGTAATTCTTCAGAGCTGGAATATTAGTTTAAGAAAACAACGGTACCCTAATTAACAGTGGAGCTGAATGTTTCTAGTGCAGAACATGAATACACTGTCAGAAAACTAAGAATTTGTTTAATTACAGTCTGAAAAATGGAAACACCTCCAAAGAGTATGGTTCTCTTTCATTGGTTATTTTATCTATAAATCCCTTCTTTGCCGCTAGAAGTCAAACAGAATGAAGGTATACAAAAGACTTGGTTTGTTTAAGATAACTTCCCAAAGAACTGGATTCAAATGGTTTTAATTTCTCTTAAATTTCTGAAGATGAAAACAACTCATATTTATGACATTCATGGAACAGTGAAGTCTGATGGTCTTCAGAATGTAAAACTAGGGGTTTTGTGAAATAATACAATCACTGACAGTTGTTTAAAGATAGTCGCGCATTAACAAAGCACCTGAACTTTGCATAAACAGGCCAGGTTTAAATAAACCAGGTTTTCAGAAGACCTAGTAAGCATAAGGAATCTAACCACTGTTTGTGTGCACATGTATATGTACATATATGTATACTTGCTGCTATGTTAAGGGTGGCGAGGCACAACCCTTTTGCTAGAAATTCTACTTAAGGCTGTCAGCCTCAGCTTCCAAAACCACAAAAGTGTCCTCAAACAGAATAAACAAGCTGAATTTCAAAAAAATATTCAGCACTTACGATGGGTAAATATAATGTATGGAAACATTTTTTAAGCAGTTCAACTAACCTCTGGCATCCACACTTGCGTATGCAGGCCTAACTAGCTCTCCATCAAGACAGCTACTTAAAAACACAACAGAACTCCCACAAATCTTAGAGTGCAATGGTTGAAAACCACTTCTGCATATGTAATTTGAAGAACATCCTGTCTGGCTGCAGTTGCTAGTACTTACCTTCCCGAATTAATAAACAGCATGTCCATGTGAGGTCTGACTATTAAAGGATTCATGAAGAATGAGCAAAACTAGTTTTGCAAGTCATACTCATTAAGATCCTAATGACACAGCCACGAACTCTGCATGTGAGAAACCTTAAGAAATCTGAGACACTAAATGCACGACCCATTTTCCTCTAGGTTGTAAGGTAGGATCAAGTGTCCCACAGGAGAGGGGATCATCACAACGAAGGCCAAGCTACCCTGGAAACCACATCAGACAAGGTCGTTGCCAAATTACTTGTTCAAGCAATAGTTCTGACACCTACTTTTGCAAGCAATCCTTAATGCTGAGGATTGAAATGTGACTAAAATAAAAGGAGAAATCACTTGCTTTTGCCAAACTGCAAAACAATACAAAGTCCCAACACTATGCCACTTTGTTGCCACGATGGAAACCTAGAAGCTCACTTAAGGTTACAAAGTGTATTTTCAGCCAAATCAGACAGAGAAATACAGTGAAGATATTAGAACATCTCCTAGGAACACTACCTTCTTTATCAATCACTTCCAAATTACAGATTTTTTTTTTTAATAAAGTACCAGATTCTCAGTGTCTCCTGATGATATTTTTAGTGTTCAAATTCACAGTGGGAAAGACAAGTACTGCTTAGCTAGAGGACTTTCTCAAGAGTGTTTTCAGTCTTTTCATCTCACACATTCATCAAGAAGCATTAATTTTGTCCAGTCTTTTTAGAGAGGGAGATGGAGCCAACAAACAAAAGCACTCTTTCTTTGATTTGCTCCTGCTCATTTTATACATCCCTACTCCAAGCACTCTGGGAATCAAAGCATGGAAACCTCATATTAAAAACAAATCATCTAATCCTGGAGATAAGTGGCCAAAAACTGCTTAGAAATCTAAAGAGAGCATGCTCACAGGCATTATAAGAAGCAATAGTACCTCCCAGATTTGTTAAATACCATGAAATCAGTTTGAACGATGACACCCTAGATGTAAGTACATACCTCAGTGACTGACTGCCCTAGTAACACTAGACATCTCCACTGACAATTTATAAAGCTAGCAATAGGTTTTAGGGCACACAAGTCATCAGGTACATGAGAGAAACTGAAACCTATTTACATTTTTTAAAGTGCTTAAAAAGAGACCAGATTATTCAAATTCTCTTAGTGTCAGGAGTATCCCAAAAATAGTCTATCTTCCCTACAAAGCAAAGTTTGGTCTGCAAGACTTACATCAGGTTAGAATAATTTTAGGGGACCACCTTTAATTAGGCTGCTGCAACTTGCTGCTGACAAAAGCTATGATATGTAGTAAACTTGAGGTTTTTTCCAAATTCAAAATGCAAAAAGAGCCCAAAGCCTGAGCCCCTTGCCCCCTTTGCTTCCTCAGAATTAATTTCTCCTTTAAGACTGTACATAGCTTTACATCTAAACACCTGCAAATAAATGCTTTGTTATCTAGCTCTTAAGTGAGTTCAAAGCTAAGGTCTGAAAACTTAAATTTCAGCACGCTACTACTAGTCTGCGTATGCACCCACAGTGATCAAACAAGATTTGCTTCAAAGCAGGGTTTTAACATCCTTTTGTCCTTGGAATTTTGAAACTGACAATTTCCAAATCCATTTCAAACACCCAAGTCACAAATCTTAGAAAGACCTAAGTTAGTCAAGCTTTTATATTAAAAGTAACAAATGTAGTGGCGCTAAGTTCATGTAGTCCCAAAACATTAATTTCAAATATGCATTTTCCATCGTACCTCAGAACTACAGAATGGAAAAATATTTTTGAGAAAGTCAAAACAGAGAAACAAGTATTTCACCTGTAAATTTCTGAAGTAATGAATTAATAATTATATATTGATCAAAGCAGCAGAAAAAATGTCATTTTAGCACATCTACTTCTTTCCATTGTCTCCCCTTTAATTGTCCCTCTGATAATACATGTAGTCTCACCTAGTCAATCAAGTACCACTTAATTCAAATTAACTTTTCTAGTTTTGTACAGAATGAGTGGACCAAGCAACCATCAACACCTGTAAGAATTATGAGCTTGTTTTCCATGTTCTACTCCCCACCATCATGGTATATTTCCAGATTTGTGAATATTTCACAAGGTTCAAAATTTACAGGTTGACAGATCTGTGTGCAAGTTAGGTTCAGAAAAAAAAGGTATACAAGGAAAGTACCTGCTGCCTCCAGTAAGGCTTCTAGTCTTGCTTGTGTTTCTGGATCCACAGTTCTCAAGTCCGCACCTTCTGCAGCACTCGATAAGAATAACTCTGATGTGGTTTTAAGTACTGGGTTATCAAGATCTTCTTGGTCCAAAATAAATGATTCAACCTGTTTGCCAAGTTAGAAAAAATAATTTTACCATTTTTGAAGTTTTATACTAAATATAAAATATTAGAAAACACACAAAATAATTTAACTGTACTGTCATAATCATGTTTTAATGATGCAGATTATAGGACACAACTGTAAAAAATCATCTGGTCAACTCACTGAAAAGGTAGTTGAAATCACAAAAGAAAAAACTACATGAAAAACAGTTTACTGTAAAAATTACAATTAAGATCATAGACAAGGACAATTCAGATTAAATACTGAAAAAATGTTAGCATGTTTGGACAGTTAACCACCAAAACTGACTACCACAGTAGGCTGTAGCATCTTTGTCACCAGAAGTCTGACTACCCTGTCATCAAAAAAAGGCCGTCAGTGATGACTTTGGTATAGCTGAACCCATCTGAGAGCCAGGGAGGAACTGAATGGTTTCCAGAGATGTCTTTTAGTTCTCTTTTAAAAGTAATTTCAACTAAAATAGCACAAGGATTTTGTTTGTTTTGAGTATAAACACCATAGCTGACTAAACTTCAAAACAAAAAGATCTGTTTCCAAGCTGGCACTTAGAATTATCCCAGTCATTAATGTTTTCTAGACAAGAACAGATAGGTAGAACAATTATGCAAGCAGGTATTCCAACTAAGCAGCAATAATGCTGTCGCACCAGTGGCCCACATGATCTCCAAATACAAGTTCATGGAATTACTCAACCTAACACACTGCAGTTTTATGACAGTTTGTCAGAGTAAACAAAAAGGATACCTGACTCATAACTCTGAGAGCAGAACTACATTTCAGAATCTGTCCCAAGTTCAGATATTTCCTCTGTTTTCATTAATATTCCAAGGTAAAACTGCTTTCATAATTAGATATCTGTTCAACACGATTATTGGTGCCTTAAATACGCCGCAGAAATGAGACATGCTTGTTAAGACAACCATTGCTGCCCTTTCCCAATTCATGACCCAGTGTCATCTTACTTTCTGTTTTCCCCTAATACTTCCCCCTCTATTTCTCACACCAGCAGTAAATTATCATCATATCCAACCCTACCACACCACCACATAACACCTTAAGAAAGGGATAGTTTATACTTAAAAAAAAAAAAAAAAAAAAAAACAAAAACCACAAACACTTTAATCAGGCCATCTGCAAATTCATTAAGTGTCCTATTGTGTGAAACATCACATCTCAGTGGATATGCATGATATTGGCTAGCTTACAGGTATTGTACCTTGTTTACCAAGGCACAAATATTAAAGCTAAAGCAGGAGGCTATGATTTAGGACTCAAATAAGCAAGATTTCTAAATTAGTTCAGACAATGGTCCTAAAATAAGAAAACTGACATGGTAGGAAAGAGTTGAACATTAAACAAGAATAAAATTAGTGACCTAAACCAGTGATACACATTTTTGCTACAAACAAAGAGCAACTATTTACCACTCACAGCAAAATGTATTCCTACAGTAAGAGTCCCCTCTGCAGAACTCAAATTCCAGGTTAAGACCATCAAGCCAATTTAAGGACTCCCTGCTGGTATAATCTCTGGTGCAAAACCGACTTCTGGAAAAAATCACCCTTATTTACATGGGTTTTAATTTTCTCCATCAAAACTACACAAGGCACTTTGCCTCACCAATATGCTAGAAATATTATTCTTATTGCAACAATGTTTGTGTGACCTGGTAACCTGCGGAATCACACTGTATACACAAGTGACTATTCGTTATATACAGTTGAGAACTACATACAAGAAATTTTATTACATGCTAATGGACTTTTTTTTCCTTTTTTAATTACACCACTAAATTTAACAGCACTTGCCTGTTTTGAAAACATACCAAAAGGGATAAAAATGCTACCCACCACTGAAGCAGCTCCACTTACAAATAGCAAATATTGCAGAAACATCCAAAGTGGCTTCTGGAAAACCTTAACTTTCAGTCTCAGGAACAGCCTGACAACACCAAGGCAAAGGTGAGCACATCAGCCTTCCATCAACCTTCCAGAAGTTGTCCCAACGCAGGTTTTAAAACTTCACTTTTTGAAACTTTGGTAAAGACATGGAACATTCTCTCCCCAACTTGCTGCCACCTCAAGCTCACTTGTATATATTTACAGAGCATTACCTGCAAGAATACGCCTCTTGAACCTAAATCAGTGGCAATTCACCATTCACAAATACCCAATCAACCTGCAATGAACTTCTCTGTCTCTCTCCCCCCAAGCAGTACACTTTACTTACAGGGACCTCTGTAAAAGTCTGGCTTTTTAATATTGATTGAGCAAACACCAATTAAAGTGAATTACAGATACAGCTTTTACTTAGGGTACACACTGGGCAGTATCAGTAGAGTCTGTTCTTTTCACCACTTTTCAACTGTTACTGTCTTTCAGCTCTTTAGGTTTGCAACTGTACTTCCAGAGACCTCACACATTTAAAGTCTCACACAAAAATCTTGCTTCATACACAGTATTTTTATCTTCATTTTGTATCACAGCAAGAAAAGGCAGCTGCTTTCATTATTTCTGCACGTTGAGCATCAATTTTTAGGTTTTGCGATGATTTTTAGTAAAAGCTTAATAGCATACCCACAATACAAACCTGAGTGTGAAAATATTGAAAATCCGTATGTAAGATGTTAATATAGCTGTACCATTGCCAGTCTCCCAGAACAAGTTTCAGTGCATTGTCAAGTCAGAACGTCTGACATTTCTGTAAATCAACGTAGTTTCTCACACATTAAGACAAAGCTATAGAGGATGAACAGTTGGATACCTCATCACTAACAGCACAGCAAGAAATTCCCTAATCAACAAGATGTCTCTTGTGAAGGGAAGTAACCTGCAATGAATACATAACAATTATTAAAAAAAAAAACCTACTCCAAATATATCAAACAAATTTTGCCTTTTAAACAAAAAATAAACTTTGTAAAAAAACAAACAAAACAAAAACAAAAAAAAAAATACCAAAGCAAATAAACAAAAAAAATACAAACAGATTTCACATTAGCATTCCTGGGAGACTTAATACACTGCTCATGTGGCAAAATTTAGGCACTCTGCTCTATCCTTAGTCAGATCTGCAGCAAAGTGATAGAGTAACCAGTCACTATGCTATTTTTGGATTATTTTGAGAGCTGCTTTGGGCAGTTAATAAGCATCTTACTTGGTAAGGCTCATTAGGAACACATGGATTCAAGACATTATTTTAAATGCCAAAACATTTGCAACTAGGAATAATTCCCAATCAAAAACCAAAGCAGCTGATAGCTGCGTGGGACCTGAGGACAGGGCACTGAACATCAGTGTACTTCACTACATCACGTTTCATGCTTATCCATAGGAATGATGGACCTTTCCTGAAGTTCTGCCAAAGACTGCCGCAGTCTCACAGCTCTGCAGATCCAGTTACACCAACTGGTTCCTCCCTCCATGGCAGCTACATTCACTGCTATTGGGGCTCAACTACATCAGTATTTATATGTTAATTCCATGACTGAGTTTATCCCAGGACAGGGGTATGTAAAGACCACTTTGCAAGCACTAACATCACAACTAACACTAGAAATGCTCAGAAGATGCAGAAGATGGGCAATGGCATAAAGGGTTAGAAACATATTTCTAATATTAAATCTAAACAGATCTTTCCTACGTTGCACTGCTGAAAAAAAAAAAAAAAAAAAAAAAAAAAAAAGTACTTTTCCCAGAACAGCCTGGACCTGCTCACAAATAGCCCGTTACCGACACAGGCTACAGATGATGGAAAAGCTTCCTGTGTAGCTGTATCAGCACCATTCTCTCCTCCTCCCGCAGGCAAGGGCAGCAGCAGTGACAGCTCATTCTACCTTCTCCTTCCATTTGTGCCAAACCAGTACTTCTGGGAAGACTATCTTTACAAAAACTGTTGATAGGAAAGAGAAAGCTGCTACTGCATCATTTCCTTGGACTTGCACTTTCCAGGTACACCTCAAGCTATGAACACTTTTCCAGGGTAACAATATGCCTTGCTCTGTGCTTGTGGAACTTCTACAAATAATGAGGACTTGAGACCTTGGACTGGGACTCCTAAATTCTTATTTATTATGGACATAAACGACTACCCAATTTCCTCTTTTCTGTTAGGTAACTCTTCCTAATTACTTCTATAACAATTCCACTTGCACAGACATCTAAATACATCTGAATATATGCAGAGGGACCTTGGCTTCCTTCATGCTAATACAGGCCTGTAGATCAGGCTGAAAGTTCATGCCTATGAAGTTGAAATACATCATCTGTATTTAAACTATTTTAATTCCATAATTAATAAGATGTGTGATGCGGTATTAGGAAGACATTGTCCTTTTGTCTGATAAACCCAACCTGACAGTTTATGTTGTCATGGCCTTCACTACACTGAATGCTAACATCTTATTACTACTTGTAATCTTGCATTAAAAGTTTTGGGAAATACTGATAGGACATCAGACACCATAACACTAAGTTAAGACTGAAAATTAGTTTGTATTTCAAATTTTACATCAAACTCCTTTAATTAAAATTAAATTCTGTGAAATTCAATTCCAATAATGTCATCTTCGAATAATTATTTTTAATAGTTTTGAAGGCAAAAGCAAAGTGAAGGACTTTGCCACTGACACAGCAGTCTTAGGAGCTTCCTGTGACAAGCACACATCTAAGCCCCTGGTATATACTCTTCACACCAGCAAAAGGCCTGACTTTGGTATACCTTAAGATGAACTTTTCAACACTGCCCACTCCCCAACCCAGCCATGCCAGTCAAACATTTTGCACCTACCTAAGGTATCTTCCTGGCACTACTATTTCAGTTTCAAGAGATGGAGTAAAGGAAGAGGGAAAACCACACAAACATGGGTATTTTCACAAAATCTTTCAGTGGGACCTCAGTACACTGCTCTTTCTTGGCACTTCAAAATTAAAGAAAGAAAAGAAATATTTTAGAGAAGTACTTCAGAGTCAGCACATTGGAACAACATATAATCAATGTAAACAACAATTCAGACATAATTAATTACATAAGACTATACCCACTCTGTTAGGTTTGAACTGTCATTTCTGAAGACAGTTTCTTCAATTAAAAAAAAAAGTTTCAGCCCAAGAAGGCAGAAGCCACTAAGATCTGTGAATCACCAAGAGATCATCTTCTAGTGCTGGTCATATGGATCTTGTGATTACAAAGTATCCTAACCACCCAGGGGAATTAATGGGTGCTTGGGGACATCAGCACCCCAATAAAGAAGGAATAAAGTATCTGAAGTATCATTTCCAGTCACTGCTCATCTTGTGACAAGTCAGGCAGCTATCAGACACTTTCATGGGTCGATTTAACACATCAAAAAGGAAGAAAACTTGAGGGGGGGGGGGGGAAGTAAATAATTTTCTACCACTTTACTGAATTTCATGGACTTGCAAAGGGGTATGAAACTGGAACATCATTCTTCTGGGAACAGCAAATCATTAGATCAGCTCAGCTCCCTGAGAGGCTACAAACCCAACTGCCCTCCACATTTAAATGGAGCTGCTAGTACCTGCACACCACCTTAGCTTAGCAGTCCACAGCAACAGTTTTGTAGGGAGTAAATTAGGTTGGGAGAGTGGGGGAGAGGAGAGGTGCAAATCTATTTAGCTCCAATTACAATAGGAAGTTGACTAACTTGAGACAGGATTATCTACAGGACCGACTTTATTCCCATATATATTAAGCAATTATCAGATAATGAACCAAGCAGCTATAGGATCTGGGCTGTGATAAATTAATTTCAAAACACAGGCTGATTTTGCAAATGCTGCTATAGATACAATGTAAATAAAAATGGACACAACCTTATACTTTGTCACTGGAAACAAGGAAAGTGCCTCTCACACAGAGAGTGTGGAGGGTAAGCCTGGAATTTATGTATCAAACTATGCCATATGTTCTTGATGTGTTAGCACACACTCAAACTGATCTCAGCATTAACTTAAGCTGACTAGAACGACGGGCAAGAAAACCAGCAATGAGAGGCCGGACAATTGTATGACAGCTCCTCTCTGCTCAGTCTGGCCCCAGCGAAGGATCTCAAGCCTGGCACCCCAAGTCACTAGTCAATTCTCAAAATTATTGCTAGTATTTGAAACATGCAGATAAAACAATAAATCAGAGTTTATCTTTTATGGAACTACTCTTCCATGCCAGAGATTGTTTATCCTGTCTTCAGTTTTCTTGTGCTAGTACTAAACACATAAGCCGGCACTTGTGAGCAAGCATCTGTCGAATGGTTCATATATATTTAACCACTTATTTCTCTCGTAAGCAGTCAACTGACACTAAATAATCGTATACCAATTTAAGTAGTTTTGAATGCTACAAACTACACCTTATCACACACCTCTGGACAGAGCTGTCTGATTTATGGTTCTTCCACAAACAAGAAATCTCCATTTTTATTAAAATATTGTTCTACAACAAATAAAACCAAGACGTAATTGCAGCCCCAGTTAACCCTCAAATAAACTAAAGCATAGAACAGTTGTGTCCTCTTGGTACAAGAAGATGGCAACATTAAAAAGCTTCTCTGTATAGCAGTAAAGAAAGCATTACTCATTTCAGCCACTACTGGAAAACAAAACAAAAACAAACAAACAAAAAAAAAAAAAACACAAAACACTGTTAAGAACCAGCCTGCAGCCACCACATATTCGATGTCTGATAAACAAAAATAATTATGACTAAGTTTTCCTGACGTACAAGAGTATCTTTTGCAGCAAGGAGCTGCCATTTACAAAACTGGAACTGAAAACTGAAGCATATTCAAAATTCACACGAATCCCAGTAAATCAAGTGTCTATTCTTAGTATGTACCATCTTCACGTTGAAGAAAACCACTGAATGAGAGACCAGTAAACCTTACTAAAATAAGCTTCACTTACACTAATCACTCCTTATTTTCATGTGTACTCAGTCCACTCTAAATCATGTTTTCAGTGCTCCATATGCTCCATGCTCTTTGAGATTCTCTCCTGCCCTCTGTTTTTTCTAATAATCCTGCAGAAACAGTCCTTCTTTTCTCACCTCAAACAAAGAAACAGTAGATATAACTCAGTATTCTGTTTTATTAAAATATAAACCAGGATTGTTCCATCAATTTATCCAGGGCTTTCAGGGTGGGATCCTTGGTCAAGTATCAAATCCCAAACACTAAAAAAAAAAAGTGAAGGAAGCTTCAAAACAGAAGATGAGCAAATGCACTTATTTGCTGATGTAAAAGCTCACACTCATCTAAGATGGCAAGTACTCTAAGCCACCTTCTTGGGAATGACCTTTTAAGATGTCTTGTTAATCCAAAGGGAGGGCAGTACTTAAAATCATACAAGTGGATCCAATGAACATAGTCCAGAATAACAATTCAAAACCATGTTCCCTGGCCACAGAAAGGAGTCTCAACATTTAAAGTGACTAATTAAGTTATCTAGAGACTTATACCAAACTGAAAATCATACTGGGCTTTCTGCTATTCTCAGAGCTGATGCCAGTGGTAGCTATTTTTTCAAGGCCTGTATAAGCAGTTCTGTGCATGCTCTACTACTACAAAACCAGCACAAACCATAATGTAACTACTGAACCATCAGTTAGCCATTTAAAAGAAACTATCATAATGAATAACACAGCAGGAAGCCCTATCTAAAATATGACCCAATTAAAAGATATAGCAGTAAAAGGAATTTAAAATGGAACTATTTTAGAAAAACAATTAAAATATGTACATTTATAGAAGGAATTGAGTCCACCCTAACAAATCCTAAATGTTAAGCATCCACTTCATAGACTCCCTTTTTCCCTGGCTACCTTATCACACTGTGGATGAACACATGCGCCGAACAGGAGATGCTCTGAAGCCACTATGATCAAGGAACATGGCTCGGCAGTAGACCATTCAGCCCTGAAAGCTGACCCCTTCTTCTCCCTTGGTTTGAAATACGACTGATTTACTGCCTATCTGCCACATAACACCATTAATTTTATTCAGGATTTTGGAAAGGGAAGAGTTCAACAGGGTTACTGATTTTCCTAGAAGAAAATGTTAGTTAATCGGTAATCTCTATGTTTTACTGAAGGCAAATGAGACTAGCTTATGGACCTAGCTGTAACTTAACACCCATGAAATGTTAAAATAACCAGAGAGGTGCTTTTCAGTTCGCTCACTGTTCATCAGCCACTAAAACATCAATTTTTTTTACTTAACAATTAAGGAATAACTTTTCCTGCAGGACAGGTATACAGTTAGGTAGCTTTCAAAACCTCCCCTGGTCAGAAGAGTCAGCCACACAGGTTCCTCCTCACTTACTACCAACATCCTGACAAACGTAACATAGTAACTCAACCACAAGTAACCCCTCTCGGTCTAGGACACGTTTTCTTCAGATGCTGGGATGCTTTGGAAGAGCTAAAAATTAAAAGAAGTTTGAAAAAAATCTGCACAACTCCCTCTTAAAAACAAAAAGGCAAAAATGAATAAGTGGTCTAATCCCATGAAAACCAATTAAGAAGTATCAGGATCCAGCAAAGGACTAATTCTTTTATTTTTTAGGATAATATGTGTTTTCTAAATGCATTTGAACTGATGATGCACAATATGACAAAAAATTTAGAAAATTTTCTAGCATTTTAGACAACACTGATTATTTGAAAGTTTTATAAGAAAATACTAAGTAATGAGTTGCAAAAGTAAAATGAAGACATTATCCTCCAATAGAATGCATTTCCATAAATTTCACTTGCGTAGCATTCCTCCAAAAAATATGCAAAAGGAAACCTCTGCACCTTCACAACAAAGAGAGGTAGTTGTCGGGGGGTGGGGGGAATACAGAAACTATCTATTAATGAAGTATATCAAAAGGTTAGAGCTCAGACATGCACATAATCCTAACTAAACAAACCCTTAAATCCAAATATTTAATTCACCTGTACCCATTTTTTTCTTATTCAGAAGCATCATGATTTTATAACAGACTGCAGTAACAAGGTTGCTACAAAATCCAGTAGATGTGTCATTTGAAAGTTAAACTAATCTTCAGTTTATCACAGAAGACCAAGGTCATACAAGGTATCAATGAGAAAGTTTCTATTTTAAAAAAGCCCTGAGGCCAGGCACTTTTCAAAAACTTCCTAAATTTACAAAAGTACAAAAGTTGAGCAAAACACTGATTTATGAACTTTTGCTTACAGTATCTGACTCCTCACACAAACATTCCCATTAGGGAGATAAGCTTTACACAAGGACTTTAGATGGCACTTGCATGGTACATGGGCTGCAACTAGGAAAGAGTATTCACAGAAGAAAAATGAAAGCACCCTGCTGAAGACTGAGCCTTCAGAGCTTAAGTTAGAGTTCTGCAGATAGTCCTCAAGCAAGATGTAGAAATTATTTTTCTTGCTTCATGAAATTTTAAGTGGGAAACAAATCTAATAAAGGTTCTTTGTCAGACTTGCCTCTGTTTTAAATCGGAGAGTGACTTTAACCCCCCCCAACAACAGCTTAACACTTCTAAGGAATCCTCATACATGTCACAAGAAGCCAAAATGACCTACTAAGATCAAAACTATGCAGCCTCCCCACCTGCAGGGTCTAAACTGCAGTTCTCAACTCCTTCAGCAAGAATGCAGCTTCAGTAATGTCGATGCTCCCAGTTTTAAAGTCCAGGCCACATGTGTGCACAGAAAAAGGAATGCCTTTATACTTCCCTTCCCTCCACACATACACTTCTTTTCAGTGAACGTTGCAGTGATGGTCTGAGCTCTAAGCACAGGACAATGTCGCAACAGCATCATCCAGCCATCCTTGCAGCTATATTTCAGGATCCTCTGAGATGAGGAAAGAAGAGAGCATCCCAATATCAAGCCCACAGGGGAGCGCTGGGTAGCCCCAGTTTAAATCAGAACACAAGAACTTGTGATTCACCAGCTGTAGTCTCGCCTTGTGTTAATGCTCAAATGAACCCTTGCCCTGCCCAGACTCTAGCTAGCTGACTGGTGAAACCTATGTGCAAATTTGTAACTAAATATGGATGTTCTGCTAAATTTGGTAAATCTCTCCTTACCAAGGGATTGGACTGCATATTTATATACTTATACAGTAGTATTTCACATCTTTGCTGACTACACCTATCATTAGAAAATGGTTGCTGACATTTATTTTAGGTCATGTACTCAACTGGGTCAAGCTACACTGAAAGGAAACTAGAGTTCTGCAAGAAACTTTAGAAATCAGTTCATTTTAAAGTGTTATTGAACTGTAAGTATTAATCATAACTAGACAGATTGTTTCTGGCTACCAAAGGTCAGGCTTTCAAAGTTACTGAGATACTTACCAAGATTCTTCCACGAATTAGATGCCTAATCAGGCTGACAACGAATGAACACCCTACTAACTAGCTCCCTGCATGCTTAAGCATCATCCCAATACTTTCGGAAACCTGAACCCATTATCCCTTGATTTTTTCTAATCAGTGATTAATTCTTGAAGAAAATTTTCTGTTTTGTTCCACCTCTTACTTCCTCAACTTTGAAAGAGCTAGCCAAAATACAAAAAACATCAACTGCTAAACTGAAACTTACATTTTTCAAATAAAAGGCTTTTCTGCTTAATATTATCTACCTGAATTTGCATCAACTTTTAAAATTTATATTTCTTACAGTCAACAAAATACTACTATTTACATTATTTCAAAAAGAATACAGAAAACTAAAAGGTATAAGCATTAACTTAACCTCGGAAGTCAAAGATATGCCATGTATACCATTTAGGAAGCAGTGCCATGTTAAGAAGGTTCATTAACATAGCAACAACTTTAATAGACTATATTGCCCACTTAAAACAAACCACCTAAGTATTTACTCTGAATTCACAACCCAGTTTAAATAGTCAAAGACATCAGATTTGGAGGAGGGGGAGAGGAAAGGGCAGTGAAAGGGAAACAGAGATTTAAGCCCCAGACAAAATCTCCAAGTACTGATCTGACCTGGAGTGCAGGTCATTTGACTATTAATTTTACTCATTGTAGGAGGTAGGTTATGTCTGATTTTTAATTATGCTCTATGTAAATATCCCCAGAGGCTTATGCAATAGGTAGAGGCTTAAGTAAGGCAAGCTGGTGGAGGCAGGCAGCCTGCTCTGGAGAGGAAAGCCCAGAGCTGAACTGACTCCATAGCCAAGGGGTGGGTGAGCTCCAGTTGCCATTGAAGGCCTCCAAACCCCTGAATTGAGAACACAAGAGACTTGCTACATTTATAAGCTCACAGCCAAAACCGACTCAACCGAACCGAGCTCCAAGATCCTCTGGTACTTTTGTCAGCACAGCTGGCTTCTCCTACTTAATTTACAACAGATCACCAAACCATACAACCCTGTGAGCACTAACACTGCCATATTTATCACTGGCTTCAACTCTCTATTTCTACAGCCCGGTTTTCCATCAGAATGGGTTTTGATAAGAACCTGTGTGCTCAATGGCCAGAAGCCTTCAACCACCGGTGACCCTATGGGCTTCACATACATGCACTATTAATCACCGCCCTGCCAGCACGCCTTCACCTTGACCTACAGGCTTCACAAGTAGTACGAAGGAGGTTGTTTAATACTCATGCCTTTAGCACCACTCTAAGTGATGGCAAAATTCACAAGGACTGGTAGTAACACAAAATTACACCAAAATCTCACTCTAGACAAGTTGCAGGCTGTGTCCAAGCCCTGATCAAGTTTAGAAAGCAACCAACCAACTATTTACACTGAGGTCAAAACTACCTCATCTCTCACACTGCAACCAGTGGCAAAAGGTTCTCCGAACACCCAGGACAGCCACGGTTTCCCCTCTGTTTTACACAGAAATAGCACAAAGCCTCCTGGCCTCGTCCTTCCATGCCAAAAGGCATGCTTCAGCTTGCAATTGTTTCTATTTGCATGTGATAATTTTAACCGGTAATTCTAGAAAACATTATATACAGCCGCATTTAAATTTCACCTTGCAGACCTGATACAACTCATTTATACAGGATCTACTCCAGTCCCAGTCAGCAGCCTGGTGACCACCATAAGCAGCCACTCAGCTAGGAAACAAGAAAGCTTTGATTTTTCTCCCAGTTCTGCAAGGCAGGATAAATAACATACTCTCTTCACCTGTGCAACAGGGACAATACTGTCACTGTAAAGTACCTGAAGACCTGATGTAAGAAATGCAATATATTTTTCAAAAAAGTAAAGCTAAAATATATTGCTTTTCTCATTCTCTAGATAAATACTTCATTACACTCTTTGACCTGCACTTCCCTGATGATTTTCTTCTCTAATTCACCATTTTGACTAATCCAATTATTTTAGCATATTAAACTCAAACTAATACAAGGATACAACACCTAAATACCACTGCAGACACACAGCAGAGCCTACAGGATACTGTACCATTATTTTTATAACTTCAAAGTAGAGAAAAAGAGTACAGATCAAGGCAGCATGGCAAACGCTCACTTTATTTATTTTAATTCTCCCTTCTAGTTCTCATTAATTCCACTCACTAGTAATAGTTGAATGCATACACCCAAATCAGTGACTCATGGCACAAGACCACAGTCCAAACAGTCACCAGGTTTTCAAAGCAGTGCTAATCAATTGCAGTGTTCCATCCCAGGAGATTATTTTAATTTTCTTTAAAAAAAAAAAAAATCAGAAAAAGAAAAAAAAAAAAAAAACACAACAACAAAAAAAAACACAATGCTGACAACAAGTGCTTTGCTTCTTTAGTTTTCATACATACAGGGAAAACAAACGAACAAAAAAAAGAAAACAACCACAAACAAAATAAATTCACTCTTGGTCCTCTCAGCCATACCCCGTAGTCTAGCAAGGTGGCACAGATGTGAGGCACATCCCTCCCACCCATGCTTTTTCCCTAGGTTACTCTCCACAACCAGAAACACAAGACAGAAGAACTCCCCAGGCAATTTCAGCTTCAAGATGAGCCCAACTGCTCTATGTGCGCTCTGGAAATCTCCAAGTCTTTTACTTCCAACTTATTTTTTTGTTATATATTTTAAATAAGAAAAATTACTCATTTGAAAAACCTGGGAAAAGCTAACAGCTGCTCGGCAACCTTTATTTTTTTGACCTCAGTGCCAACCTCCTAGACACATTATTTATAATAGGCTGTCTTTCTTAATACTTGCTATTAGTCAAAAGACCAATAGAGTGCTTAGTAAACACCTTAGCTGTTCAATCTTCACATACTTTACATAATGGGGAGGGTTCAAAAGGATAAGCTTTCAAAGCTGAACTCTGCTCATCTTGTAAATAGCCATAAACACTCAGATACAGCACATTTCCCATTGTTTTCCAGGTTCTGTAACTACTGCTCTGTATCCTCGAAGACACATTAAAATGTGACATAAAAAGCATCCTAGAGAGCAGAATCTCATAAATCACTTCCATCCTATCTACAGTATGCCTTCCAGCTCCCCAAAACAGGTATGTACTTGAACACGTAAACCCCTACCATCATATGTTCAGGATACCAATCACACAAGGAACATCCACATGCAAGTGCTCATCTGCCTGATCATTAGAGTGTTACTTTAGTTAAAAATTCTGCTAAGAGCAAGACATTTAATTTAGGTTAGATGACCACAAGCAAAGTGCAAATGTGGGTCTGCATCAGTTTAATCACTTTTTTATTTAGATAAAACCTGTCAGTTCCATGTTTCAGGAGTGCTGGACAAAAGGATCATCAATGGAAGGCAAAAAAATTTAGACATGGGATGATGAATGCAAGCTCCCCTCCTTCCATTTCTTCAGAAGAAATGTGGGCACACACAAAAGCACCCACTCCTGGCCCCCAAAGAAAAAATGGTATGCTTCACCTTGGCTACCATCTTCTTGTTCCTGCAGAAGCACAAAACAAGCTTGCAAGTGCTAGCCACTTTCTCCTGCTTTCCACCAGGACTACATAAGGGCTACAGCGGCAGCTGTGATCTCAAGACTTCTTTCTACAAGAGGCAACTAAGGAACTAAGATTCACCCTTTGGCATAGTATGAGTGGGAAGTAGGGACAAATAAAACCCTTCTTCCCTGTGCCGGTGGTGAGGTGCTGGCACAGGGTGCCCAGGGAAGCTGTGGCTGCCCCCGCCCTGGAAGGGTTCAACGCCAGGTTGGAAGAACTTGGTCTGGTGGAAGGCGCCCCTGCCAGTGGCTGGGCGGAGGGGGTGGTGGTGTAGGAACTAGATGATCTTTAAGGTCCCTTCCAACCCAAACCACTCTCTGATTCAGACTTATCTTCTCTACCTAGGCGGAATAAAGCAGTATCAGATGCAAGTTTACAGGCCCAATAACGCTCCCTTTGGATTGGGTTAAGGCTCCAGTCCCTCCCCCCACACCCTTCCCTTAAAACTCTCCGCAGGTTAGGAAGATCAAAGGAAGACACCTCCATTACCCTCTTCTATTTTGTTGGGCAAGAAATATTTCTACTGCATAAAAGCATGTGCGTGTGTATATACATATCAGGAATTTAGCAGAGTCTAGGAATTCCATATCCTTCCTCCTGAGCGTAGGGCAGCAATACCGTGGGACAGAGGCTTCACTTTGTTCTCCGCTGGGTGGAGGATCTCACCTCCTCCCTCCAAACCTGGTTCAAAGTGGAAACTACTCCTAGAGGTCAGAAGACAGCAGCACGGGAGACATATTTCCCCCACCCTCCGCACGGCGAGAGGCAGCGGCGAGCGGAGCGCCGGGCCACCCCAGGAGGATGCAGGCGAGGCGCCCGGCCCCGTTTCCCCAGGGCCCGCCGGGATGCGCGGCGCTGCCCAGACCCCCCCTCCCTCCTTCCGCCCCGGCCTCAGCAGAAGGCCCGGGGCCGCCCTGCCCGAACGAGGCCGCCGGGACCCCGCCCCCGCGGCTCCGGTGCGGCCGCTCACGCCCATGGCGGCGGGGGAGGGGGTGCGGGGCGGCCTGCGACCCCCGCGGCGGCGCCGAGCGCTCGGCTAGCGGCTGGCGGGGGGGGGCGAACTGGGCGGGGGCCGGCCGGGCCTGTCAGGAAGCGACGGAGGGGAGGGCCGGGCCCGCCGGCGGGATCGCTCACCTCGGACACCTCGTCCTCGTCGCTGCCGGAGCCGCCGCCGCCGCCCCCGCTCCGCAGCACGGCGGCCGCCAGCTTGAAGTCGAGGGCGGCCTCGCCAGTGGCGGGCGCGCCGGGGCCTCCCGGCCCGCCGGGCCCGGCCTCTCCGAAGAGGCGCACGGCCCGCAAACCCAGCGGGGAGGGCCCGGCCGCGGCAGGCGGCTCGGCGGCGGGTGGAGGGCGCGGAGCGACAGAGTCGATCTCCTCGTCGCCGACGGGGGCGGCGGTGCCGTCCGTGAGCATCGCGCTGATCCGGGGCCGCCGCCGCTCGCAGAGCCCAGCCGTCTCCGTCCCCTCACGGCACCGCAGCAGCGCCACTAACTTCTCACACCCTACCCGGCCGCGGGCGCCGCGCCGCCCACCCGCCGCTCCGCCCGCGCCCATTGGGCGCGCTCAGCCGACGGCGGCGTGCTATTGGGCGCGGTGCACGCCACTCCCGGATCGCGTCACGCGCTCCCAGCATGCTGCCCTGAGAGCGCACGCCGAGGCAGTTAGAACCCGCCGCCCCACCCCGCTCCCCCGGCCTCGCTTCCTGAACTTTCCGGGAGCTGATTGGCCGTCTAGAACATCAGTCATGTGCCTGGCTGGAGCTGCGGGCTCCGATGGGGCGAGAGGGTTGTCGGTCAAAGCGAATCTGTGATCCGCCGATTCCGATTGGTCAGATGGCACATCGCTCAAAACGCACGGCGCCTGGCGCCTTCCGATTGGCTCCTGCCGTACACTGGGCCCCCCTCCCCTTCGAATCCCTCTGAAGGTCTCCGTCAGCGCGAGAGGTCGTCATATGCCCGCCTATCCCGAGCGGCGATTGGAGCCGGGCACTGCCCATCGAGGCGAACAGCCCGCCCTCCCACCCGTCCCGAGGGCGGACCGCGGTAGGCTGGGCGCGCCGTCACTCAGCTCCCCTTGCCGCCCCGCCCTCCGTGACGACACTGGTGCGGCCACGTGGCCCCTGTCAGCACCGCCAGCGGGGTCGAGCGCGGCCGAGGGCACGCGAGGGCTGGGCCCCGCGTGTCGCCCCGTATCGCCCCGTATCGCCCCGTATCGCCCCGTATCGCCCCGTATCGCCTTCGGCACCCCCGGCCCGGCCCGGCGGAGCCCGCTCGCCGTCAGCCTGCCGAGCTGGCCGGCCCTGCACCCCGGCCGTGATCCTAATTCACGGAGAGGGTGGCCTCTGGTCCTCGGCGGCGCATCAGCTCAGTCTGGAGGGAGAAGGAAGGGGAGGAGGAGGCCGGCAGTGCTCCCTGCCCGGCTCCCGCCGCACCGGGCAGCTCAGCCACAGCCCCGCTTAGCCTGGGCTCGGGCTGGGCTCAGCCCCTGCACCGGAGCGTTCCCGGGGACGGCTCTGACAGAGCGTCGCTCCCGGGACATCACCTACCTCCTCGCTGTTGCTTTCCTCCTCTTCCCGCTTCCTGCAATGTTTCCCCTCTGTGTCCCTCCCGGCTGTTTCGGGCAAGAGGCTGTCCAGCCAGCTCAGGTCATGCAGGGAGAAGACATGCTCCAATCCCTTTCGGATCCCCACCAGTGCCAGCAGCTGCAGCCAGTGTGAAGCACGGATCAGCATCGCAGGGTGCTTGGGGCTGAGGGCCAGGGAGCAGGTAGCGGAGTCCCTGCCACACCCCAGCATCCCCCCTGCTAAATGCCAGGGAGGTGGCGTGTCACCTCTCCCATCTTGGTCCCAGGAGACAATACTTGCACAACACCTGCAAAGCAGTGTCAGCCCCAATCCAGGAAGTGAAGGCTGGTGGCAAAGCCATGTCCTGGCCTGGCAGGGATCCCACCAGCCCTCGGGGGAGCTGAGCACCCACATATACCATCTGCCAGGGTGTGCACCCCCACCCAGAACAGCGCCCACATCCCTTGCCCAAGGTGAGCGCTGGAGCTCCAGCAAGGCTCAGGTCACATGTGGGCAGCACCCAGTCCAGCCCAATTAAAAGGGACGTCATACCATCACTGGGAAAATAATAGCGGCCACAGTGGACTTGAGGACCCAGAGCAGGGCCAGGCACAGCAGCTGGATGGCAGTGAAGAGGTGCACCCGGCGCAGGGGCACATGGCGCAGGTAGGCAAGGTCTGGCTGGTGCTTGGCTGGCATCAGGAGCAGTCGCACACGGTCTGTGAGCTGTAGCCAGAGGACAGCATGTAGGTCACAAACCTCCAGCTTTCAGGCAGCTCTTACCCACCTCCCTTTTGGGACCAGGGCTGGCAGGGTGGGTTTTCACTATTGTTTTTGCAGTTCAGCCCTCCTGCTGGCTGCCATCCTGATGCCTGGGTGGGTGATTTTGTCTGAAAGACCAGGGGTCCTGTATCACCATTGCCCCAGGGCCTAGGAGCACTTTCCAGGCAGACATCTAGAAAGGACTCAAACTGGTCTTAAGGTGTTAACTGGGAGAAAACAACCCCTTGATTCCAGCCCCCACCCCCCCCAGCAGAAAACTGCTGCTGCCTTTGTCAGAGCACAACCCTGGACTCCCCAAGCAGAGGAATGGAGGGAGGATTTTCTCACTGTCATCCAGAGCAGGGTAATTGCAAGGAAAATGTACTGTTTAGAGGAAAAAAAACAGGTAGATGCTTCCAGAGTGGGGATTTTTTGCCTCTCCATGGGTTTCTCAGAAGAACAGAGCTGGCACATCAGCTGCAATGCTGAAGGCCAAAGGACCAGCAGGTCCCAGCTCTACCTGCAGCTCTCGGATGGGGATATCCCTGCAGCTTTGAGAGGAAGTCTGGATTATCGACTGGTCCCTCCACTTCTCACAAATCACCAGATCCACCAGTGCAGAAGTTGCTCATGCTCCTCAGCACCCCAGACACCTCCCTTTCCCAGCCCCAGAAAGGTCCCTCTGTCCCTCCTTGTCTTGGGCCTGGTGGGGGACAAGCCCGTGCCAGGCTGCACATCATGCAGAGAGCTAAAATCGAGGCTTGGCTGCACAGTGAGAGCTGGTACTGAGCAAAACTCTTCACCCCCCAAACAGTCCCCACCAGTACGACCAGCACAGCCCCCACACACCTGGATGCTGTTCAGTGCTGCCACTCCCATGTGCAGAAAGACCCCGTACAGCACTGGCATCGGGATGTGCTGCAAGACAGCAGGGCAAGTGGTCAGCAGGGCACGATCCCCCAAAGGGGCTGCACTTTCTGAGCTCTCCTGTATAAAAGCCTGCACACGTGGCTTCAGCATTTGCTTCCTTCATTTCCAACAGCCCAAATTAATGTCATCGCTTTTTGCTTATCTTATGGCTTCAAGGGCTTTAAAGCCCGGATGTGCTCCCGGCTATGCTGCTCATGCAGGTACATCACAGTCAACAGAGAGAGGAGACAGGCACCAAGTTCCTTGCCGTTTCCCAGCACATGGTGGGAACAATACAGGCTGTAGGTGGGGAACACCACACCAGGACACTTGGAGATATGGCTTATGGTTCAGGATCTATAAATGCTGGGGAGGCAGGACCTCCCCAGAACACCACTTGCCTTTTTACCTTCTCCTCTCCAACCATAAACTGGCTCCTGCCCTCTATGTTGCTCAGTATACTTTGCTTTTCTCCCAATCCTGGGCAGGCAAGGAGGAAGACGGAGAGGTCACTTGCTGCTACCCATGGATTTCACCAGGGACACAGGGACTTCCCAGGGCTGGGTTGGCTTCCCCAGGGCATTTTGAGAGGAAGCATTGATCCACACATGCGAGACAGGAGGTAACTGCTAGTCCTGGGGCTGCCACAGAAGCAACAGGAGGGATTATAAGGAGAGATGGATCCCTTGATGAAAGGACCAAACCAGACTCATCCTGGGGCTGGGGAGGGAAGAGGAGTTTGCCTGGGGGAGGCTCCCAAATCCCACGGACACTCCTCACTGCCCTGTACCTCGGCAACCACCACAAAGGGAGAGGGAGGACCAGGGAGGCTTGGGCTCCAGTTTTTCCACCACAGAATCACAAGAGGGTTTGGGTTGGAAGGGACCTTCACAGACCTTCCAGCTCAACCTGCCCTGCTGTGGGCAGGGACACCTTCCACTAGAGCAGGCTGCTCAAAAGCCCCGTCCAACCTGACCTTGAACCCT